AGCTCTATTGGCATCGGAAATGAAAATTTGCGAAAAACGCCCATCGCCATGTTAAAGTACATGAATGTAGAAATCTTTTAAGCCCTAGAACGTTTAAATCTATCTATGAATCAAGTAATTTTCCTAATTGATTTAAAGCAATATTTATTAAATCCAATTATTCCATTCATTTGACTTAAATAATTCGAATTTGCTACAAATTAGTGATGCCGCGAGACGAGACGGTAACACGTAAATTCTCGTCTCGTATTGACTTTTTGCATGGACGAGAGAACTCTCGCGGCATCACTACTACAAATAACTATTTATTTGATATCCCAGTAAGAAACGAAAAATTGAAAAGGATTGAAATAATTCAAACTCTGTATGGTGTAGTAGAAATTATCCAATACTTTTGAACGCCATTTCTGTCCAATACTTTTCTATACCATGATAGGACCACGTTTCGTCTAAAAATGAATGCTATTCAATTCTTTTTGTAATTTTTAACAAAGACAAAATTTTTTTCTGAATGCTTTCCAATCCCATCCGAAATTATTACAGCCTGTCATTATATCACTTTTCAATTTTTCATTGGAACCGCGTTTCTGCATGCATTCAAGCAATCTTCTGGATTTTTGTAATTTATAAGATACATACGTGGCAGATTTTGTAAAAAGTGTTTGTGTTCAAAGAAAAACTTGCTGAAAAATTGATTGTTTACCAATTCAACGTCATTTAAACTAGTCAGGGCCGTTATTCTGTTAGACAATAAATCATAACCTAAAAATTTCAGAGACCTTTAAACACTTTTAACCCTTTTAACTGATAATTTAATAATTATTCCTTTTTAAAATAGCAAATAAATTCATGAGTGCAGTTATTTGAAAGTAATTGAACATTCTATATGTCAACAATATTAGTATTATATTATTATACTACTGTCGCGGAATTCAGAAGCATAGGGCAGAAATGTCATTCAAAAGGATAGAATTTTTTTAATGCTTCTTAATCTTTGCTTTCTTACTGGGTATTCAAGAGGATTGATATCGTTACTATTTATATTGCTCTCACTGGATAGAAAAGTATTGGACAGAAATGGCATTCAAAAGAATAGAATCTTTTTAATACTTTTCAATTTTTCGTTTCTTACTGGGATACTACAAATTAAAATTTTTATATCAAGGGCAGTTCCATACGAAAAGTAAATGGTGGATCACCGATTTTTCTTAAAGTTTGTAATTTTGTAGTATTTGGGGTACTTAATAACTGTGTCAAGATTTGAAAAATCGGAAACTGAAAATAAATAAATAAATGTCAATTTTTTATAATATTATTAAAAAAAGTTAAAAAAAATTAAATTTTCAATAATTTGTTAAAACAATAATTTTTTATTGTTAAAAAAATATGCTAAGGACATCATGCAGTTTCCTAAAAAAATTATTTTCTCAAAATTTAAACCTTCCTTAATAAGTGGTTAAATTTTTAAAGAAGTGATTTTTGATGTTTTTGAGAAAAAAATTTTTGAAGTTTGCGCTACGAGTTTTTGTGCGTTGCGGCTAACTAAGTAGCGCCTATATCAGTGTATTTTAAAAGATGATATGACCTTTACTGCTCACCCGTAATACATTTATTAATTATATACGTATATATTATTATTATAAACAGTTTAACTATATATTTTTAACTTTTTTATAAACATTATTTTCCTTTTTTATTGTAAAAAATCTTTTCCTCCACACTTTATCCAGGCTTATATTTCTAATTTTGTATTGTTATGGTCTTCAGTGTAACAAAAGTCAAACGTTATTGTGTCAAATTTATTTTCTACTAACTGAAAAAATGCTTTAAGGAAAAGATTTTTTACATTAACCCATTGATGCCTACACTACCGTCGGGAATTATCGGTACGGCTGCACGCGCACGGCCCAAAAACATACCAATCTTTAAATCACGATTTTTTTGTAAATACAAATGTCAGAAAATTAACAAATATACCATTCGAAAGATTATTAAATTCTGCGATTAATGATACATAACTGAAAATTTTAATAATTTATACAAAATTAGCAGCAATCGGCAAATTTGACAAAAAAAATTAAAAAATAAAATTTTTTCGGAAATTTTTTGAACCCCTGCAAATTTTTTAAAAATTGTAGAAAAAATTTGAAACTTATATAGGTGTAATCATTCAAGTCTCATCTTTAATTTAAGACCAAAAAAGTTAAAAAATCTTAATCGGTTATCGAGATATCATTATAAACAGCCGAGCATTTTCAGCCAAAAACCGTTCAAAATCGACTAACTCAATGCATTTGTCAAAAAACATGCTCCGACGTTTATAATGATATCTCACGAACCGAATAAGATTTTTAAACTCTTTTGGTCTGAAATTAAAAATGCAACTTGAATGATTACACCTATATAAGTTTCAATTTTTTTCTACAATTTTTGAAAAATGTGCAGGGGTTGAAAAAATTTCCAAAAAAATTTTATTTTTAAAATTTTTTTTGTCAAATTTGTCGATTGCTGCAATTTTTGTATAAATTATTAAAATTTTCAGTTATCTATCATTAATCGCAGAATGTAATAATCTTTCGAATGGTATCTTTGTTAATTTTCTGAAATTTGCATTTACAAAGAAATCGAGATTTAAAGATTGGCATGTTTTAGGCCGTGCGTCTGCAGCCGTATACCGATAATTCCCGACGGTAGTGTATATATAGGCAAAGGAATGCAGATATAATAAAAGTAACTATTGGAATCCTGGCATGGGATCTCCCAGGCAGAAAAGTTGGAGATGTGCCAGCACTAACGACCGGCATGGTACCGAACCGGTTGTAAAGTTGGACTTATGCCGGTACCGGCAAAAAGGTACCGGGCCGGATATGAAATAAATACCAGCCCAGTACCGGCCCGGTGGTAAATGTGGATTTGTACCGGTACTGGTAGTGTGTACCGGGCCGGTTGATAAAAAATATCTGACCCAGCAACGGCCCGGTACTATAATTTACTTCTGTTTTTATACCGCCGAAGAAGATTTGCCGGTGATAATTTTTTTACCGGCCCAGCACCGGCGTAGCACCGGCCCGGTACTGTCATTTCGCTCTGTTTTATACCGCCGAAGGAGATTTGCCGGTGATAATATATTTACCAGCCCGGTACTGTCATTTCGCTCTGTTTTATACCGCCGGAGGAGATTTGTCGGTGATAATATTTTTACCGGACCAGCACCGGCCCGATACTATAATTTAGTTCTGTTTTTATACCGCCAAAGAAGATTTGCCGGTGATAATATTTGTACCGGCCCAGCACCGGCCCGGTACTACTATTTGGTTTTGTTTTTATACGGACGAATGAGATTTGCCGGTGATAATATTTGAGCCGGCCCAGCACCCGCCCAGCACAAAAATTTACTTAATACTTTCTACTGGCAGAGAAGTTTTGCCGACAAAAATATTATTACTGGCCCAGTATCGTCCCGGTTGTTTGCTAATGTTAAACTAGCAGAAAAAGAATTAAAGAAGAGAAAAAAAATTTGAAACTTAATTTATTAATTAATTTAATTATTAATAATAAATTAATTAGTAAGTTATGCTGGCAATTATATTAATACCGAGTAGGTTGCTTATTGGTGCCGGCCCGGTATTTAGCCGGTGAATAGGGCGGTTATTATTATTTATAATTACTATTTTTATTTATTTATTTTTAATGATTTAAATTGAATTAAAATAAATTAGAAAATACAAATGCTGGCCCGGTACCGCACCGGTTGAATATTAGTGCCGGCCCGGTACTGCTGCCAGGTGGAATGTCGGTTGGACTTTATAAGCTCACTTTGCATTTACTTTCCATATGCAGGTTTAGGTTAGCGGATGTGGTGTCGACTTTGCAGCCTCAGGGTCCTGAGTTCAATTCCTCGAGTCTTCAGATTTTTCTATAATTGTTTATGTTTCTCTGTTTCAGCATTTAATATATTTACTGTTTCCAATTTAAAATTAATAATAACATTGATAATAATAATAATAATTAAACAATTAATCAGACTGAAATGTAATTTTTTTAACCGGCCCGGTACCACACCGGTTGTTTTTTAGTGCCGGCCCGGTACTGTGTCAGATATTCATCAGTGCCGGCCCGGTACGGTTGCCGGATACCTACCGAAGTTATCATCCGGCAATTTACCGGTACTGCGCCGGTGGAATGAACAGATTTATGCCGGTACTGGACCAGTACCTAGCCGGTTGTGCAGCCGGTAATAAACCAGCACTAAATGCCTTCCAACAATAACCGGGCCAGTACCGCCCCGGTGGACAATTCGGTACCGGCCCGGTACGTATGCCGGATACCTGCCGCAGTTATCATCCGGCAATTTGCCGGTACCGAGACGGTAAAAATTACGGTCTTATGCCGGTACCGCCCCGGCACTTATAATCCGCCGTTAGTATCGGTCCGGTACCATCCCGGTCGTCAATTTCTACCTGGGCTAATGATAATTTTTGTCGTTGAATGTTAAAAAAATATTTTTTTTAACAATTTTTTTTTTATAAACAAATGAAGAGAAGTCGATTTTTTTAAGAAACTTATAGCGCTATTTGATTCTACGCTAAAAACCACTACGAAAACATATATTACATAATTTTTTAAAAAAGACCTATTGGTGTAAAAATGTTATAAACAATTAGCCTGCATTCATACTGTATGAGGTATAAGGATCGTTTTTGAAGTTAAAGATTTTTTTAAACAAAATTAGCTTAATCAGGAGAGTTTTTGACGTTAAAAATTTTTTAAACAAAATTTTTACCTCTAAAACTATTTATGTAAGTGGAAATAAATAAGTAAAATGTCTTCCGAGCGAGCGAGGAATATGACGCTAGTTTAAAATTAATATATTTATTATTATTATACTATAAATATTGTTATTATTATAAACTTACTGGTTTATTTACGATTCTGAAAATCATTGAAAAGCATCACAAAAACTATAATGATCACTGTAATAAAGTATAATTGGCCTGCAGGTACCTCGTCCTGGCAAGAAAGAATCCTGGGGTGCTGGATCCATGATCCCAAAATGTCAACTTAAAAAGGGAAACATTCATAATGACTTATTGTTCATTTGCTGGTCTCACACCAGGAAGAAAGGTATATATAGATTTCCAGCAAATTTAGAACAAAATTTTTTCAACAATGAATTATCTGCTTTTAATAATGTTAATGAAACAAATTCTTTATAATAACTTTAGTAATAAATATAGTGATATTAATATTAATACATTAATATTACACAGAATTTTTTTTCTGGAGAAATAAAAAACAAATAAAAAATAATAATGAAGAACAGATAAAAAAGAGAATAATAAATATTATCGTATAAAATAAATACAAGGTAAAATAAATAATTTCTTGTAAAATATTACCTTTTTAGGTGACAGGATGAAAACAGTGAGAGGGAATTTGTCTGCGAATAAGTTTGGCTTTGAGAAAGGTGACAAAAAGTTTGAGCTTTTGATTCACCGATAATAGATTTCTATGCTGCGTTGCGTTTATAATGGCTGATATATCTATTGAAGTTGAAACATCAAGACTTGTCATAATATTCTGGTTGGTATTGCAAAATATTTTCTGCACGTGAAATTACGAACAAGTGTTCCTTTGATGTCGCTCAGGTAGAAAAATATCCTAATCCCCTTTGGCCACGTAAACTGAAAAAATAACAAACTTTCTATTATTCTTTTCTGAAATTAATTTATTTTTTTCTTTTTCGTATTTTTCTTTATTTTTTCTCTGAATTTGTACATTTTGCCCCTTTCTAATTTTCTAAGTATTTATTTTATCAATTTTGTAATTATGGATTAATTTAACATATACAGCTTTAAAATTATGAAATATTTAACGTCGAAATTGTTTATTTAAACAAAATCCTTTTTTTATCGGCCCGTACGAATAATGTATAAGTTATTTTTTATTTTTAATCTTTAAAAAAACCGCAATAACCTATTTCTCAATTTTTATAAAGAAACAATAGAATTCTTAATTATATAAAATAAATATTTTTACAATAAAAAAATCGTTTATTTCCATTTTGTTTATTTTGAATTTAAATCAATATTTAAATTGGCGCCCTTACTCGAATTAATTTTTTTGCAAATTGAATTTAAAAATATATATTTGCTTTTCTTTAAATATTTATTACTCTTTGTATATTTTGTTATTTTACTATAATTAACCAAATTTTATGTTTATTTTGCAAAAAAAGCACTTTATTAACTTATTTGAATTTGGCGCCATTTTGAATAAAAGTGCAAACTGTGTGACGTTAGCTATAGATAACTATAGCGCAGTTATGGCTAGTTTTGCCGATTGTTGTTTGCATCGTTATTACGTTAAAATGAAGGTGTTTTTTTCATTTTAGTTATGTCTATTGAAGTCATTTACAACGAATTATGCAACGTGCGATAGAAAAAAAGCTTGATAAACAGTCTGGCAGACGTTGAGGCACGTGACCTACTTAAGAATATCAATTTCTTTTGTGTCGCCGGTATAGCATGGGATGTGGAGAAAGGTAAGTTTTTTTTAACATCCCACAAACTTTATTCTAAAAAATTTCACATCTCTCCAATGAATGAATTATAGTCTAATTTTAATATTTTCTCAGGTATATGGAAAATAAGTGGAAAAATCCAAATGAATTGCGTCTTTTTGTGACATTTCGTGGCATACAGGTTAATCAGTAACGTAACCTCAAATTCGCGGAACCCGCTGTTTATTATTTCATTGTTTAAAAAGGGAAGGGGGGCCCGCGCCATCACTCTCTCTTCCTTTCTCTTTCTTTTCATCTTATTATTTCATTAAACTTGATTAAAGCCGCTGCTTGTTAAAAAGTACTTTTTTCGACTAAACTATATTTTTGGTATATTTTCCTTTATTTCTCAAGGGGGATATTTTCTCTTTTAAAGGAGTTTTGGATTTACTTGGAAAAACCGGCAACGAAAAAGTGAAAGTTTTTAAATAGCTTTCAGAGATTTATTATCTAGGGACACTTGCCAAATTTACTCTCTTAATTGGAATTCTTTTCGATTGTTTCTTCGTTAAAAAAAATTTCTCCAGACTTTGTAAATAATTGACCTTTTGGGAACCAGTTTATGAATCATCGGATAATTAAAATAGTTTGAAAAAAATGCATTTAGCTCAGGAACTTTTTTGATTTTTGCATTTATTTATAAGTTGGGAAAAAAAAGTGAATATAAATATCTCGGGATGGGGGGGAAATGCAAGTGCAAAAATTTTTCTGCCAATTAGCATTAATTTACATGTAGAATATTTTTTTTCTAGAAAATTTGTTTAATATGATGATAAATTAGTTCCGATGGAGAAATAAATGTTTTATCTTTGATATTTTAGGTTTGATAGATAGAAAGAGCCTGTTTGGAAAGGAAAAGTGTTTAGAAAAAGGAATGGTGGCACAATGAACGGGTGAGACGCCCCTGGTGTTTAATGCGCTGCGACGGTACAATGAGGAACTAAGGGAGTGTCCGTCCTGTGTAAGATGGCCTACAGACCTACATTTGTCTAACGTTCGATTTTTTTTTCTGCTGGCCCAACGACAATCGACACGGGGGTCGCGTGGTGATTGTGCGATGTCATATACATGTATCACGGGACGGATATCCGTCTGACGTCGAGGTGACAGTTTCGTGACCCTCGCGAGAGGACGGGGCGCGCGAGCAAGAGAGGGACAGAGTGAGTGTGGAGGACAGAGAAAGGATTGAAAGAACAGAAAGGAGTGAAAGACAGGAGAGAGAGAGAAGGAGATTGTTGGTGCGTGGGATAAGGAGAGAGAGAAAGTAAACAGGAGAAAGGGATTTTTCAAAAAAAAAAAAAAATTAGCGCGAACAGGGGTGTTCCTAACTACGAAAATTCGCGTAGGTGTTTTTTTTGCCAAGTGCGCGCGTGTGGTAAAATACGACAACACCTTGGCAGTTGTGTTTCGATTTAATCTGGTGGAATGCTTGAGGACCGAATGGCAGCGACCGGGGAAGCTGGACTTCCTACCCTGGAAACTGCGAGCGATTCGACATCCACAATTTTGACGAACAATGGTACCGGAAATATTGAGTTGCAGAATCATTTACGAGTGCAACAGACACAACGACTTGATCTGGTGGTGGATATAAACGGTGCCGAAAATTCTGGTGAGTTTTTTTTGTTTATCTTTTTGCTTTGCTTTATTTTGAATTGGGTAGAAAAAAAGGTGTGTTGCACCTCGTGGTTTTGAGAGGAGACGAATACGGTCTATAATTCTCTACAGTCAACTCGGTACTCTTTGTTGTCGCGTTGTGCTTGCCCCTTTACCCGATTTACCTCCCGACTCCTTCCCTCTCAAATGTTAATGTTGCTGTCTCGCTTTCGCAAAGTCTCTTTTTTATTCCCTCCTTCTTGCTCTCACGTTTGCTTTGCCGTCCGTCACTCTTGCCCTCTCGGTTTCTTTTCCTTTCCCCCTGCCCCGCCCCGGTGCCTCGTCTGGCTTACTCACACTCGTTTTCATTTCGTTTACTCTCACTCTTGTTCCTTCTCTCTTGATAACAACCGAGTGTGAGTGAGTCGGCTCCGAACACTCACTGAATTGCCGGCTTGTTTTTCTTGTTCAAACTTTTTGATACACTTTTTTTTTGCAATTATTTAACCTCAATTTTTTCTACTCTTCGGATAAAAAATTATTAAAGCTCCTATTGAAAAAAATAGATTTTTCTGAAATTAAAAAGTCATGGATAGTTTTCTGCAATATTTTCTTTATTAGCATAAAAAATCGTAAAATTTCTAAGCGTCTTGTAATAATGATTGATTGTTGAATCTTAACCTTTTTTTAATTCACTGTTTTTTTAATAGTCATTTTTTTTTGTTTAATGAAACAATTGGCACTTTTTTGTTTTACTCAGTGTGTGAAGCCATGATTTCTAATACTATTTGGCTTCAGAAAATTAAATTTAAAAATTAAATACAAAAGAGTGATTCATTCTAGATAGAGGTTGGACCTTTATTTTTCTATTTTTCCCAACAGGTACAAGCGGATGTTTGCTTCGAGAAAATAATCTCAAAAACAAATTATTCTCCATTGTATTATTTTAAAATTTTTATTTTGTCTCACGTCATTTCTTTTCAATTTTTCCGCTTTTTTCTGAATTTAATTTTGCTTCACTAACGCTAAAAGAGCTGCTGCAGTGTTAACATCTTGTTTTCCTTCTGTTTTCCTCGATAATTATTAAATTCAATATAAGAAAAAAAAATGGAAATTCACAACGTAGATACATTTCAAATAATTCTTTTTATGCTACAAATGCGAATTTAAAACATTTTATTTAATTAAAAAATACGGTTGTCATTTCCATTTTTTATTTGTAAAAATTATTTTCAGTGTATCAGGTAAGATACTGTCGGTTTTTTTTGGGGGGAAAAATTGTTGAAAAAAAACTCTTGCAAGAAAATTCGCACGTCATAATATTTATTGTTGATATCTCTCTTTTTTGCCTTGAAATGTAAAACCTTGGGAAAAATTTTGAGGAGAAATTATTAGCGTGATTAATTTACTGTTGCTGATTCTTTGCTATTTTCAAACGGCACTGAATATTTCCTTCTCAAGTACCGAAATATGTCGAGGTTCTTGCACTTCTTTCTCAACATGATTTAGGTTCATCGAAACGACCACTTCTTTATATTGATTCATCGTTAAAAATATCTTTCGCTCGATTGTATATACATAGAGATGTATTAGGCATATATATATATATATATATATATATATATATATATATATATATATATATATATATATAATATATTGGCTATACAGACATATTCAGGCATATAGTTATATTTATATATTTTTACACACGTGATCTCTGGATCTTAGAACCAAAACATTCTTTTTTTTTTGCTATTTAATTAAATAGTATTATTAATACACACACGAACTAATTATCGATATGTTCATTAGTACTACAAGCAATAGTCATTAGTAATTAAAAAAAAAAATACTGAAATGCGAATTTTTCCTCACATTTTTTTTTATTTATGTATCTCGAGAGAATTAACATAATGAATCGCGAGGAGGCTGCGAAGGTCTATATCTACTTATTTTCGCAACTATACTTAATTATGCAAGTTAAATTAATAGGTTATGAGCATATAGGGTGTATTAAGAAATTGGAACATTTCAATTTATTAGGCGATTGAAAAGGTATATAACCAAAGTGAAGCAACAAATGAATGGAATAAAATTGAAATATATACACGGAGAAAAATGAGTTTGCTATTATATGGATAGCTAATTTTTAGCTATTACATAGCTAATAAATAGCTGTTTTAGCAAAACAAGTTAGCTATTTTAGCTAATTATTAGCTGCATTAGCTAACAATAATTGCTATCCATATAATAGCAATTAAGGTTAGCTAAGGTACACTGAAAAAAAATTTAATTGCGATTCAAATATCCATTTAATTGACTATTATCAATTAAATATTTACTTGAATCAAATAATATTTATTGGAGTCAATTAAATGGTATTTGAACCAATAATTTCAGTATTTGCATCAAATACCATTTAATTGACTTCAATAAATATTATTTGATTCAATTAAATATTTAATGGATAATAGTCAATTAATCGGATATTTGAATCAATTAAATTTTTTTTTCAGGTTAGCTAATAATTAGCTTAAATAGCTAACTATTTTACTC